GTCAAGGATTTATAGCACATGTGACATGGTCAGATGGTCATTTAAAGTCATTAAATTTCATTTCTCTGTTAAATACGTAGAAAATCTTAATAGTTTGTAAGTGGTCGTGTTTTACAGCAAAATCATACATAAGCTCACAAAATTCAATTTTTGATAGGAACTATTTCATCAGAGATCATTTATCAGCCATATTAAATTCCACCATGATTAAATGACCACCATGTAAAACATGTTTTATTCCTTTAAATATGTTTACTGTACTGCATAGTCAAAGAATAACATCAAAAGTAGTGACATGTATTTGTATTTATTATATTCCATTATATATTGAAAAAGTCTGATATCAGAAATTGTATTTAATGTGAAATGATAAATTGATATCAAAAAGAATGGTATAATATATATATATATATATATATATATATATATATATTCATTATATATATATATTGTGTTTGTTGGGTGTGTAGGTGTATATAATACATGTATGTATATATGTGTATATATACAGTATGTACAGTATGTGTATATATGCATGTGTATATAAGTATATATATATAATTGAGTATGCAATAATGTTTTGCTCACACTATGATGACATTACTTTCATGAAATTTAAATAATATTTTTTATTTATAATATTCAAAATCTCATAATATTTGACAGGATTTCTTATTGTATACCGTGGTACAGTAATGTCTTCGCATCAGACGAATTTGTTCTAACGATAATGACTACTTTGATCACGTCAACAAGCTCAAGCTTACTTTCTGGATAAAGGTTATCCTCTTAAATTCATCCTCAAGCAAACCTCTAGAGCTAATAGATTTTCTAGACCTTCTCACCTCTCTCCCAATCCTAAGCCCATCACGGAACGCATATCTCTAGTCATTGATTACAGTCCCAGTAATTCCCAAATAGCTAACAGACTTAAACAAGGATTTCAATCCCTCAAACTCGATTCCTCCATAAACACCATTTTCAATGATCCCCCAGTAGTAGCCAACCGCCAACCTCAAATCTATTCTATCTTCATCTCGCTTACTTTCACCCTGTAGGTCCGCTGGTAATACCAGATGCCACAAGCCTAGATGTCAAATTTGTAAATTTATCACCACCGATTGCTCTATTTCTATGCCTCATTCTGGCTGTACTCTTCGTCTCCCCTCTCTTAACTGTGATGCTCACAATGTTGTATATATGTTATTCTGCAATATTTGTGATCATGGTCATTATTTTGGCGAAACTGGTGTTGATTTTAGGTCCAGATTTAATAACCACAAATCTTCTATCCGACACAATCGCACAGGTTTTCCTGTAGCAGAACACTCCCAACCATTCTCTCAGCAATCTACGGTGTGCCCTCATATCCACTAATTTCTCCCCCCTCAAACTCATTATCAAGACACAAAACACACGTATCTGGTTTAAACAAGGATCTTGGTATCCTTAGTGGGTTCTCGTTTTTTAAGGCATAACTTTCATTTAGATCCGTTTCTGTAGTTACCCGATTTTATTTTATTTTATTTTATTTTTTGGAATTTACTTATTACTTTTATTATTATTATTATTATTATTATTATTATTATTATTATTATTATTTTTATTTTTATTTTTATTATTATTATTATGATTATTATTATTACTATTATTTTTATCATCAATACTATTATTATTATTAGTATTAATATTAGTATTATTATTATTATTATTATTATTATTATTATTATTATTATTATTATTATTATTATTATATTACTGCATTGCTTCATTCATTTATTATTCTAGGTATATTCACAGGCCTAGCATACGTTATATTATTAGGTCTTCATACAGTTGGCTAATTAGTTACAATCTCTATATGATCCATTTCTCTGAAATAATCATCTTATCTGTGTAGTGCTGGCCAATACAATGGATAGTTTATTTGACTCTGCAATTAACACCCTTGGTTCTTTATTATTGTAGATACTCAGTATACATAGATAAATAGACCAATCATTTTACAGTTTTACAAGTATTTCTCATTTGCTCTCTGTCACCTTTATTCTTTTTTGATAAGACAGCCTAATATTGATTCATGATGTTTTCCTTATTCTCACTGATGAAGGAATAATAAACATGAATATATAAACATTGTCAATAGGTAAATGATAAAAGCAATGCTTATTGTTATTTGTTTATATATAGATGTATATAGGGATATACCTTATTATCTGTATATCTAATAATATATATAAAGAAATTTTTGTATACAGTGAGTTTAATGACAATAAAAGTATGTAAAAATTAATTTAAAGTATGTTAATTTCACTGAAAATTGTACATAAATAATTGTACATACCATATATATATGCAGTCTCTTATACACATCT